TTGATTGATTGATTGATTGATTGATTGATTGATTGGGGGAGGGTCGCCCATCCCCCCCCTCGCCCTGCCGCCACACACACATGCACACACACACACACACACACACACACACACACACCTTTCTCTCTCTCTCTCTCTCTCTCTCTCTCTCTCTCTCTCTTGCGTGCGCTCGCGCACTCTCTCTCTCTCTCTCGCTCTCTCTCTTTTGCGTGCGCACTCTCTCTCTCTTTCTCTCTCTCTCTCTCTCTCATTTAAGGAGTCGGTTAAATCTTGTCTAAGTTGAACTCAAGTTGTCTTTTGAGTTCATATCTGACTTAGTGTAAATCTGGGAAGTCTCTATTTCTAAAGGAAGTGCTGGCTAAATTTTTACTAATTCGGGGAGTTAAACAAAATTTGAGTTTCCAGAGTTAAAGATTATTTCTGGTTTCATATTTGGACTTATATAAATTCTGAAAAGACACTTCTCCTACGGGAAGCGTTGCCGAAATTTTCTTAGTTTAGAGGAGATAGATAATATTTTGACAGGTAGCGATTCTGGCAATCCATCCTGAATAGGGGAAATTCTGCCATTAGTCTACCTTTGCTTTGGGCACTGGTTTAGAGGTAGGTTTAGGCTTAGTTAATTAGGATGCTTGAGTAGGATCGTGATATGAGGATTATTCTCCATGGACTTATAGGTTTAGCCTGGGGCATTGACTTGTCATGTGTTACAGGTCCTCTTGATCGTTTGATTCAAGATCCGGACTAGATTCAGCTTGATCCCTTGAGGGTCATCTTATGTTATCATTGATAACAGGTTGGTTGCCGATTTGTCGGTTTACGACTTAACTCCAATTCACTCCTGCGACTCAACCTAAAGGCTTTGGCCCTATGGTTTGATCTGTTTTGTTGTGTTTTTACCTGGACTTTATTGAATGGTCATTTAACAAAGTTAATGAGTATTTTATTGTTGGGAAGGTGCGCTAAGATTGAGGTTTGTATGGCTAAAGCAAGGGGTATGAGGACAGAGAATGGTTAAAATTGCCCCCGTGTAGTGCGTTGACTTTTGTTGGATCTTTAATGTGATTGCATGTATGTTTGTGGTTCGGACTTTGGATGTGACTGTCTGCGATTACATACATATATGGCTGAGAGGAGCCTCACTATGACTGTGAGAAGTGATCGTCCTATATAAATAAACCTTTGTATATATTTATATGTGCCTCGGGTATGCGCGCGGTTTACTGTGATCGGGCGCAAGGGTTAGCCAGATTTTGGCTTGAGAGAAAAGAGAGACCCTCTTTTATTCTTTGTTTTTTATAAAATTTTTATAGTCGAACGTTGGTCCTTGGGCCGAGACTCAAGCTTCTTGTCCAGGACATCCCAAGCCATCGACTCTGCAGGAAAGGAATCTGCCCCCGTGCAGAGCCTATTTGCCTTGCCTACTGAGACGCCCAGGGCAAAGGCCGGAGGTCTCGCGGCGGCTGCACGACTATTCCTTCAGCCGTGCAATATCATGAGGGATTAGACCCTCACGACGCCTCGAGTCTGACACTTGAGTGTCATAAGCGGTACTCGGATCCACGAGGGACGGCTTGATTATGGGCACTGCATAGTACGCCATCATTGCGACTGCTTGCGTACGTTTGCATTGCGAGTCGATATGAGTTAGCCCGGCGTCCGCGCGGTTTTATATCAAGTCTCGCGCGCGACGCCTATCCGATTTCCGCATCGGAGAGTTATGGGATGGCTACTGAAGGGACTAGGAGTGTTGTCGCGTTGTTTGATATGTGTGTGTGTGTGTGTTTATTTTTGTTTTCGTAAAGTGGTGTGCACTGGTGTGTGGGATGCGTCCTAGTCGACCGACCACGAGTCGCGCTTGGGACCTCAGCCCCCCAAGATGTCGATTCTCGTATGGGTCCAATAGAGGCATATTACCGCGCCTACCCCCTACGCTACAGCGAACGAGAA